ATCATCAATACGAAATGAAGGCTTAATATTGCAGGGATCAGCACCGCCCCGCCATGACGGATTGGAACGAGAGAAAAATTAAAAATGATTATGGAAAAAAATACAAAGTAGAGTAGGACAAATAGTGACTGACGTGTACAGTACAGTATTTCACTGCTGTTCTGACGGAGCCGCTGCATCCTTCTAAAGCCTGCGGTGCAGGTGTGTGTTTTTTGGAGATAAGAACATAGTTATCGGTAGTTGTTGTCGCTCTTTTTTCTTCTGGGCCAAAAGATCCTCATAAACCGACATGCCACCATTAATATGTTCGACAATAAAGTTTAACAATGCATGATGCAAATCCGTGAAGCAGCGAGACCGTGAAAAGTGAACCGCGTTATAGTGAGGGTTCACTGTATTTGAAAATTGAAACGACTGCGCAAAAGAATCGGATTTCACAAAGAAATCTGAATTGAGCATTAAGGCCTGCAGTGTGAACGTAGCCAAAGTTAACATTTTTAACAATGTTTATGTCAAGAATAAAGCCTTCTTTCACATGGCAAGGAATATGTTTTTTTAAATTCAACAGCTGAATTGGATCGGTATCAGATATCAGCCGATACCCTGAGCCCAGGTATCGTATCGACTTGGATCGGAAGAAACTGGATCAGTGCATCTCTGGTATTAATAAAATTTTTGCCCATTTTGAGGTTATTCAAACCTCTGACGGCTACATCAGTGTGTCAGGCTTACTCAGATAGTTCACTAGGATCCAGTCTTCCTCCTCTTCCTCTTTGCTGTCTCCAGATTGGCTGCGTCGACTCAGCGCATCATCGGTGTCTCCAAACAGAGTGCTGGCGAACCTCTGGAACATGCCGGGACGTCCTGAAGGCGCGTGAGGCTGAGGGCGGAGCGTAGCTCTGGGCGACGGCGGGGAGAGGGAGCGGTCTTTTTGGTCATCAGCTGCAGGGTTCACAGCAGGTAGAGGCTCCAGAAAGGTGCTAAAGTGCTTCAACAGGGTGTGGTCATGGATCATCTGAGGTTCAGCACAGACATGCTGGACATCGCTCAACGTCGAGTGCAAAAAGTAAAGAAAGAGCCCTGAGGAAATAAAAGTTTAAGATCCTGATTATTACTTATGTAGTGATGGAGAAAATAATTCATCTAGTTAGAAAGGTTTAACAGATTAACCTAAATCTGCTGCAATATGAGTGAACAGACACACAGAAACCAGAGATTTTCCTTGATCTAAAAGGGAGAGGTTTTATGTTCACCAAAAAATGGGTCAGGTGAGGATTATGAAAGCAGAGACTACGCAGCTCGCCGAGTAATTATTAAATTACACGTAACCCTATCAAGCTCAGCGCACACTCAGCTAACTGTAAACACTAAACCTCAACCAGCCTCGAAACCCGTCACTACTTTCTTTGTCAAAATAAATCTCATTATGAATTTTAAAACAACACTTTCTCCTTCTATGACCTTTTGGTTCATGTTTAGGGAAAAACATCCAGATCTGCAGAGAAATCTTTTTCCATAACTATAATCTGCAGTTTATTTATCATTCTCTGATTGTAAACATTTAGAGCTGCTGGCTTTATCTGCCCACAATCATTTCATTGCACCTAAACGGCATTAAAAACAGGAAAAACCAACAGAAACTTCGTCGACTGTTTGGTTACTATTCTGCGTGAGGCTATAAAGTGTATTACCATGCATGTGCTGTCAGAGCAGCTGAGATAGAAGCAGATAGACAGAGCTGGCTGGCAGCCTGCACTCTGGACTTCACATTTGGAAAGCAGAGAAAATGAAAAGTGTGTCTGTGTCCCACTGCAGCTGCTGGGAGTAACGACACCCACTGGTAAAGCAGTGGGAGATTTAACAGAACAATAAGCTGACCTTTTAAGACATGCTTTTGTATTATTTTGCACTGTTTAATATTAAAAACATATTTTTCCATCTGTCTAGCTGTAAAAATATTAATAAAAACCTATCAAATATGAAGGAAATTGATAATGAATGTCCTGTTTATGTTGCCTCTAAAAGGATAATAACAATGTATATAGATAATTTTTCCCCAGTCCGCTTGATGAATAGTTGCATAAATAGAAAAGCTTGTGAATACAGCAACACTCCAAACGCATTCAACTAATTGGATTTTATGCTATAGCTAACGAAATAGCTCATTATGGTTGACAGTGGGGGTTCCTGCATGCAAAAAACAAAAAACAAAAAAAACTTTCTGAGCAAACTTCAAATAATTCTTATAGTCATTAATCTCAGTTTAACAGCCAATGGAAAAATATAGAATTAATCTAATCATCATTTTAGCAAAGTATTATCTGCATAAAATTATTTTGCAAAAAAATAAAAAAATAAAAAAAGTTTTATTAATTTAAAATAACAGATCTTAAAGCACATTGGACTACTAATGGAAAAGCAGAAAAAAAGAAATCAACCAAAATAATTAATTTACTCATTTTAACTTACATGTAATACATCTCTAAGTTATATATTAATTCACAGCTGTCAATAAAGTTCTGTAAAAAAAAATCTAAAGCTAGTCTAAGCTGGTTATTTTTTATTCAAATCCAGGACTTTATAGCAATATGATGTAATTCAGTGTCGCCTTTATGTCACCAATTAGGAACTGGAACTTCAGAAAAAAATTAATAAACTGAAAACTTTATCTAGTCAGCTGATTTCCTGCAAATGTTGATTTGATAAATTTTCTGTTTAGCTGCTCATGGTGCTTGAAACAGATTTGACGTTATCGTTAACTAAAAAAAAAAGGGTAATGTGAAAAGATGTTTAAATATATGTAAAAAAAAGCCTCTAATCAAGATTTTGGTCACTTTGTAAATGACTGGAGTTTTGGTTAGCTTTATCTTTTAAATGTATAACCTAACAGATATTTTATTACACACGGTGTACTTGAAAACTCAACTATCAAGGAATACTTTAAGTACTTTGGTGGGAAAAAATAGGAGGAAACGCGTCTGAACGGAAGAACTGTCGACTTTAAGGCAGCAAACAATACAAAATCCCAAATTTCCGATCTTTTCTTCGTGCAATTGAAAGCGTCCCACCATTATGTTGATCGACCGTGGTGCGTTAAAAGCCTCTCCCAATAATCGTAATTCCCAGCCACTTGTCTAAATTTGATTACACAAGGAAAAATCGAAGGTCTGCTGCATTTGAAGAACAACCAGCAAGCGAACAGCAAGCGAAGCTTTAAAACCATCCGCCATCTTTAACAGCAGGCTGATAATCCTGCTCTGCACCTGTTTCACACCCATCCTTCCTGAAAAGAGCTATATTTATTATCAAATGCATGAAAATATTTTGAAGTGAGCTCACTCCGAGCTTTATACAAACAAAGCTTATCCTTGTTCAGTTTTTTTTTTTAAATAATGTTAAATTTGCCCATATTTGGGGTTTATCAAATATCTAGATTAGGGGGGTTATAGGCTGCAGGGATTATGAAAGAGCCACAAAGGATGTGCCATAATCAGAGATAGAGAGGGAAAGAACACAGATTAAGCATTTTTAGTTACAAACATGGATTTATAGCCTCTAAAACACTTCAAGACAGACCAAATAAAACTGTAAAAACTGTTAACTATTACTAGTTGATGCTGTTTGGACATTTATTTAGAGTTTTATTGCAGTAGGCAATAAAACCTTAAGAAAAGCAGGTTAATTATTCTGCAACACACACAGGCACGCAAAAAGAAATAATAATGTGCATTATTACTGTTCAGTATCTGTTGTGCAGCAGAAATAATCGGCTCCCAGTGGCTGTTAATGTGATTTGTCCACCAGTCAGCAGGGGGAAAATAAACTGGCCTGGAGATAATATGGAGCAGCAGCACTTTTCATGGTTAAACAAGAGGAAGAGGAGGAGACTGTAATTCTATACCCGGACTGGGCCGCCTGCTCAAGACGTTTTATCTTCTGAATTATATAATTAAATGTTTTTGTTTTTTTTTAACAAAACAACAAAAACATCCAAACTGTTCATCATTAATGCATAAAAAACATGATTTCTAAGCTAAATCAGAGCTGCTGAAGCTTTATTTAAATGTTAAAAAGGACCGTGAGGTTTGAGCAAACGACAAGAAAAGCATTAATACATAAAAACTCAGTAAAATAATCTAATCTGATAAAGAAAGAAGTGTGTCTGCAAACATGCATGCGATAAATGTGATTAGGATTAGGATTAAAAGGCAGCAGAGGTGTTAATGTCGATCAGGAGGAAAACAAAGAACCCACCTGCGGCAGACGGAGCAGCAGGAGATGTAAACGACCAAAATCCTTAAAACGGAGGTAGATTCGTTTTTCGAAAAATAGAAAAAAAGACAAAACTCGAAGTTTCTTCGCAGAAGAAATAACTTATTTTTTTTTAAAAAGGAGTATTTTACGGGCAGTCACAGTGAGGCCGATCGTCTTTTTCTCTTTTCAGTCCCGTTTCCTCCTCTCTCCCTCAACTGCGACTTCTTTTGTTGTTGTTGTGGGGCTCAAACAGCTGATCGGGTGACGTCACGAGGGACAGCCTATCAGAAGGGGGCGGGCCTGCGGCGGCTAGGCCAATCAAAACGCGCTGCACGGGCTGTAGCTAACCCACGTGACCGTGCCCCCCCTCCTTCATTTTTTTCTCCTTTCTGGAAAAAAAAAAGGGCATGACTGGGCAAAGCTCCTGGCAGAAACGTTAGTTTCCCTAAATTAGACAAATGTTACACAAACAGTCCGGCATCCGGGTCAGGCTGCAGACTTTCCTGTTTTATTAGAATCCACCTAACATGTTTATCTTTTATTCTGCGCTGCCTCACTGGACACATTTATAGCTTGCATAATAGATATGTAATAAAGAAATAAGCCATAAAAACTTATTT